CCCCGCCTCTGCAAGGCCGCCCCGCGGGTTTGTTCAGCTCCTAGCAAATGCTGGGCCGGGCATCCACCTGGGTCCACGGGGTGGGAAGGCAGCGTCTTCATTTCCTATGACCTAACAATGTCTCCCCAAAACTTGGTGGCCCGGGACCACGAACATTGTCTCATGGCTCCCAAGAGTGAGGAATCGTGGGGCAGCCGTGCCTGGGCTCCTCCCAGGCTCCCAGGGTGGGTCAGGCTGCACTTGCTGCAGGCCCTGGTTCTTGGCCACAGGACGAGGCAGCAGGCTCCTCAGAGCAGGGATCCCAGGGAACGGACCCCAAAAGCAAGCTGTGGTTACCACCCAGCCTGAAGGATGGCTGGTTTTCCCGCCACATTTCATGGGCCACACAGGCCAGCGTGGTGCCGTGCAGGTGGGGCCACGTGGCTGGGAGGCTGGCTTCCAGGAGGTGGGGGCCCTGGGGGTCCTCTGGGAGGCTGCAGTCTGGAGAGGCCGGGTGACAGCGTGGCAGGAAGAGGCTGCAGGGAGCCCTGCAGACGGCCACCGTCCTGCGCATGTGGCCTGTGCTCACTGCCTCTGCCCGGGAGCTGCTCCCAAGAGCTGGGGGCGGGGCCTCTGCAGCCCCCACCCGAGTCCTGCTCTCCTCTGGGCTCAGCTCGACGTTCAGCTTCTCTGGGAAGCCCCCTGGGCCAGCTGGCTGTGGGGCCCACGGTCTCTGGCTGCCCACGCCAGGCTTGTCCGGTGACAAGGCCTTCGACCTGTGGGGAACACTGTGCCTGGGCCTTGCCGTTCTGGTTCCGCCTCCAGACCCGGGCGTGTGGGTCCTGGCCTTGGCATGGGGAGCTGCTCCATGTGGGGCCAGTGGCCAGGGCAGGACCGCCTGCAATGTCTGGGGCTTACCCCAGTGAGGATGCCGGGCTGGCCCTTGGGAGCAGAGCCTGGGAAGTTCAGGTCCCATAGAAGGTCCAGGGCAGTGGCGGGGCGGGGGCTGTGCAGAGCACGGGTCCAGGTGGCTCCCAAGAGGAGTCTGTGTGCTGATGTTGGGGGTGGGTGTTCCCACTCCCTTTCCCACCCGCAGTCCCATGTGCCCCTACCCATGCCTGCCCTCTCCCACCTTCTCCTGCTGCCCTGCTGTGGGCAGCCCAGCCCTGAGGGGAGGTGGGGCGGGCTCAGGGCCACCAGCCCTGCTGACTCATTTTCCCAACAACTGGTGTGGTGCCACCTCCCTCCCTCCTTCCAGGAGAGCCCAGACAGGAGGGGTGACAGGGCCTGTCCACCCCGGCAAGACTGGCATGTCCGCTGTGCTGGGCCCTGGAGCCGGCCCCCTTATGTGCCCACAAATGGGGCCCCCCAGTGACACTGGCCACGGAGGCAGAAAATGGGTCCACTTGGCTATGCTTGTGGTATGGGAGTTGGATGCAGGGCCCCAGAGGTGCGGCAGCTCGTGACGGAGGAGGGACGATCTCCCATCCCAGGTGTTAGCGACCCTCGGCACGGCCCTGTGAGGGCCAGCGGCTGGACACTGTTTTCTCCCGAGATGTGGACAGAGCGTCACGCTGCCATGCCCCTCCGTTCTGGCTCAGCAGAAGCATCCCCCCTCCCCGCGCCACGAGTCTCCCTCCCCAGAACCTGCAGTGGGAGCTCTCCCCGGGTCCCCTAAGTCCAAGGACCCGCTGACACAGCGTGGGGGCGGCTGATGTGCGCACACAGGCGGGGCCCTGCGAGGGCACCCCAGGCTCGGTCAGCACCGCGGACAGTGGCTGTCCTTTTCCTGACCAGGCTCCTCCCCGGGGGACTCTGCGGCATGTGAACCACAGCTCACCACCCGCCAGCCTGCCCGCATCCCGCATCCGCTCCCCCACCTTGCGGGCCTTCCTCGTGGGCCCTGCGCGCCAACACCGACTCCCACCCCCTCCCTGAATTCCCACCCTCTTCTGGGCAGGGGCAGGAGGGACTGCGGGGGTGGGGGGAGCAGCAGGTGGGCCTTCTGGCAGAAACTCCTGGCCCCCCCGAGGGCGGGAACGTGTGGGGCTGGAGGGGGCAGGGGCAGTCGAGGGTCCGGGAGTCTGGAGGGTAACTGAGTCCGTGGGCGTGGGCGTGGGCGGCCTTCCTGGGTCTCCACCTATGCAGGCGTTTGGTGATTTGGATGAGAAACGGCAAAAACAGTCACTTCTCCCTCTGCTCCCCCCGCCCCGGACAGGAGCTGCAGGTGCCCTGTGTGCGTCCCTTTGCAGACTCTCTGGGGCCGGTGGTGTTCCCAGGTGCCTGCAGAGACCGTGGCATTCATGTGGCCCCGGTCCACGGCCAGCTGGAGTGGAGTGCCGTGCACCTCGCAGGCTCCGGGCTCCTCTCTGCGGGGGGCCCTCGACACCTGGCCCATGGTGGACACTCAGACTGTGGCTCTCCCTGATGCGACACCGTCACCTGCGCCCAGACCCCTGTCCAGACCAAAGGGAATTTGGGTCCTCCTCTGGGGGCTCCCAGGATGCAGGGCGCTCCAGCAGGGTTTTTTTCTGAAGGGCCACGGCCAAGAAGGGGGGGCAGGTCAAGGACGAACCCCAGGAGTCCACTCAGGACTGGCCCTGCAGCATCTGGCTCCCCACTGCTCTGGGGCCGCCCTGCGTGGGGCTCGTCCAGCGCATCTCTTCCCCCGGGCAGCTGGGCAGCGGCTGGTGGTGCGGCCGCCGCATTCCCTCGCGTCCCACGGTGCCTGGCGCGGCGCTCGGTGGCGACACCAACGGAGCGACTTTCTGCTTCTGGACAGCGTCCTGTCCCTTGGATGCCCGTTTATTTTCCTTTTCTGGAAGCAGGATGACATTTCTCCCCACATGTCTGCGATTCCTGCCTCCTGAGGACCCGTGTGCACGGCTGTGTGAGGTGCGTCTGTGGGCGCGTCCTCCTGGCCGTGTGCCCATGACCCTGGTGCCCGAGCCACGGTTCCCGAAGTCCTTCCTGTCCAGAGACGCCCCGTCCCTCCCATTGTTCAGCGCGGGAACGGCCCAGGGCTGTGCCCACCTGAAGTCGGGAATGCAGCGATGGCGTTCGGGCCTGGGGGGTCTCTCGGGCTCCTGTTCCAGCTGTCTCCGGCCTGTAGCTGTCTCCTCTGGGGAGGTGTCTGGCTGCCTTGTCCGGCGTCTGTCCTGGGCCCTTCCGGACTTGGAGGAGCTTGTCTCCTATGGGGCGGCCGCGCTTGCTGCTTGTCTCCCTGGTACCGCTGTCCCGTCAGCCTTGTCCTGGGGACCTGTCAGGCACGAGTTTTGCTTCTAACTCTGGCTGGTGCCTGTGGTCTGGGGGCTGGGCTGGGGGCAGGGAGTCCTGGGCCTCCAGCCCTGAATTACAGACAGATGCCAGCAGCGCCCTCCCACTGGGCACTCGGTGCTCTTCCTGCTGCCCTGGAGTCACAGGGCTTGGGGCCAGATCAAAGACAGCCGGCAAGAGGCCCTGGGGACTGCAGGCCTCCCTGGGGTGGGAGCCGGGGGTGGGGGGGCTCAGTGGGCACACCCTGCCGGAGCCCAGGAGCCCATCTGTCCGTCCCTGAGTGTGCACACAACCCCCACCTGCCCTCTGGGCGAGCGCGGCGTCCTCTCTCGGCCAAGCTCCCCAAGCACACGGAGAGGCTGGCCCGCAGGCCCACCCACCCCAGCACGGGGCAGGGGCAAGAAGCCATGCTGGGAAGGACAACTGTGACCATGTTCCGTGGAAGGACACAGAGGCCACGTAAAATTATGGACGTGTGGTCTGTTAAGGGAAGGTGTTTTCTGCACACGTGACAAGGAATTCATTTCCCATAAAAATCGAGGGGCTCGTGCAGGTTGGTAAGAATCCCCCCGACCCAGGCGAAACCCAGCAGCTGGTGAGCATGACGAAGAGGTCAAGGTCACGGTTAAAGCAGCAACAACAGGGGGCTGGGTCACCCCAGAACCACGGGGTGGGCATGTAGTCAGGGTCCCGACTTTGATGGAGTCTGGCTAACACAGCGCAGTGTCCCTCAGTGTTCACAGGAAGGGCGTCCCAGGGTTGGGGGTGTGATGCCAAGGTGAATGGGGTCCCCTGGCTCCCCTTGGGCCCCCAAGTGCTGGAGGTGGGTCCAGCCATCGTGATAGCTTTCACGTGCCTGCCTAGGAATGAAAGTCACCCTGGGGATGTCGGAGTCGGGGGCCCAGGCTCAGGGATGGAGACGGGTGTTCCTAGGCCCCAGGCCACAGAGCAGTACACCCAGAGGTCTGGAGGGTGCTGGCAGTGGCCCGGGCTGCAGTGGGGGTGGGGCTGCTGGTGGCCCCAGAGGGCCAGCGAGGGGAGGGAGGAGAAGTGGAGGCTTGGGGCCGGCGGTCGGAACTATCGCAGGGTGTTGGGCTCAGGTCCTGGAAGTGGAGCCACGAGAAAGAGTGAATTCGTGTTCTGCCCCATGGGGGGCGGCCAGGGGTGGGGGGCGTGGGGCGTGGAAGGCTGGGGTGCTGCTGTCCGGGGAGCAGCCTTGGGCCCGTCCTGCTGTCCTGGAGACGGCAGCGACCAGACTCGGGGAGCCTCTGTCCAGAGACGTGCAGGCTGAAAGGAGGTTGGGGGGTCGGGCGGCAGAGGCCGAGCATCCTGGGGGTGGGAGAGGGCCCTAAGGGAGCCGGGGGTGGCCCTGAGCCCGAAGACACCCTGCCTCCCCCACTGGGGATGGCTGGGCAGTGGCTGAAGGCCTAGAGTTGGGGGACTCTGGGTTCCACGACCTCCAGAGCAAGGGCGCCTCAAGGAGGTCAGAGGGCTGGTCCCAGAGGCGGGGGCTGCGCTGCGGGGCAGGGGCACTGCAGGACGGAGTTGTCCTGGCAGGGATCAAGGAGTGCGGGCCGGCAGACGGGGGCCGGGGGAGTCGGCAGGAGGCGCACTGGGCCGATGGGGGTCGGGGCAGGGCTCAGAGCCCGAGGGAGGGGTGGGCGGAGGGCGGGGCGGGAGCGGGGGGGGGGGGCCCTGCTGGTTGGGGCCCTGGCTGGGGTCTCAGGGGCTTCTCTACCCTGCAGGCCTGGTGAAGCTGGGGATTCACTGTGTCACGTGCCAGAAGGTGGCTATTAAAATCGTCAACCGGGAGAAGCTCAGCGAGTCTGTGCTGATGAAGGTGAGCCCGGGCCGGCGAGAAGCCGGGCCAGGCGGGTTCCGCCCGCTGGGCGCTATGGGGTGCGGCTGGGCGCTTTGCCCGCCCGCTGGGACGGCCTGCGGGGCCTCGGTTTCCACAGCTTGACTCAGGAGGGGCCCCTGGCTCTGAGCAGGGAAAGAGAACGGGAGGGTTCCCCAGGACCGTGCAGCCAGTCCCGCTTCCCATCCTCCCCGCTCCCCGGTCCCGCGAGCCCCTCACGTGGTGGAGTCTGGGCCCCTTTGGTTCCGGATGCTCAGCGGGAAGGGCCTCAGGTTCCCCAACCTGCCTGCTCGCCTGTGGGGGAGGAGCAGTCAGATCTGGCCGGCAGGGGGCATGCTGCGGGGGGCGGGGGTCCCTGTCTCCACGCCTGCCCCTGCCTTGTGGACTGTGCCACACATGGCCTCCCAGACATCTCCCAAGGGGGCGGGTGGGGCCGGTGTGCCAGGAGGGCAGTGATGGGCTGCCTGGGGGGTGGAGGCTGATGCGGGGCTGCTGACTCGGAAGAGGACCTGGTCGGAGGGCAGGGAGGGACTCGTGTGGGCCCCACTGGGGAACCCTGGGGGCCACGCGTGGGGCAGTTGCAAGGGGAGGTGATGCTTGCTTGGATGGGAGCAGGTCGACCCTGACCTTGCCTTGGACAGCACCTGGGCCTCATGTGTTCAACTGGGGACAGTGTTCTAGATGCCCGTAAGCGCTCCAAGCCAGAGAGACGAGAGTTCGATGGCCAGGGCCTGGGGGTCTAACCGGGTCCCACTCTGCTGGAGGCCTGGCAGGGCCTGGGTGGAACGACCGGGAGGCAGCTCCTTCATGGGATGCCCCTGGGTTGGGATGGGCCAGCCCACAGGGGTGCGGACCCCATCGTTAGGCCGGCCCTCCTCCAAGCCTCCTGCTGCCCCCATGACCCCGTCGAGGCATCTAGGGGGCATGGTCCGCTCGAGCCCTCTGCCTCCCCACCAGCCAGAGACCCGTGGAGGGCAGGGTAGCGGGGTGCTGCTGTCCCCCACAGCCCGGCCCCGGGGCTGCGGGTAGGAGGGGATGGGGTGGTGGGTGGGGGGAGCTGGGCAACAAGCCTGCCCCCAGCTGGACCTCTTCTCTCCGTGCAGGTCGAGCGGGAGATCGCCATCCTGAAGCTCATCGAACACCCCCACGTTCTAAAGCTACACGACGTTTATGAAAACAAAAAATATTTGTAGGTATTGCCGGGTCTGGAGAGCCGGGGTGGGGCCTCGGGGAGGGCACAGGCAGCCCCCTGGGGAGGGGCCCCGGTGAGCAGGGAGCTCCCGGGAGGCTTCCACGCTCAGCGCTCCTGGCCCGGACCACGGCAGAGCTCTCAGCTTGAACCACCCAGGGGGTAGGGCTCCCTGGAGGCGGAGGCTGGCAGCCTCGGTCATGCCGCAGGAGCCCCTTGGCCCCAGCGAGCTACCCGCAAGCCCTGAGACTCTGCCAGGGCTCCTGGGGACTCTCCCCATTCCCACGGAGCTCCCCTCTGCTCCTTCACGGGGCTGAGACCCCAGGCCGGCCGATGGCTCACCAGGCCCCTCACCTGACCGGCTGTGCCACCCTCTCCGGGATGTCCGGCTCCCGTGTTGCTGAGAGTGGCTGACCTCGGAGGCCCGCGGAAATCTCATGTCCCAGGCACACCTGGGTGGGAAAGTGGAGCCCCCCCCGCCCAGATCACCAGCTGTGTGGCCTCCCTGAGCTCACCTGGGCTGTGGGTGGCGGACCCTCCCAGGGTCACAACAACGGGGTGCCCAGCCCTGTCAGTACCGCTTGTGTGACCTCAGGAGGCCCAGCCTGTGATGCCCAGGCCCTCGGGCGTGTTGGCACTGAGTGAGGAAACTCGAGCAGGGGAGGGGGCCCTTAAGGGCTCCGCTCCAAGCGCCAGCCCCGGGGAAGCCTGGGAGCCTGCTGGCCCAGGTGGCCGTCCACAGCCCGCCTGTACCGTCCTGGGCTGTGGGGTTGGGGCGCAAAGCCGGCCACAGAGGGCAGCCCCGGGGCAGGAGGGAGGCTCGGGCACATGGATCGAGGACGGGCCCTCAGTCCAAACCGAGGGTGCTCCGATAGTGCCTCTCTCTCTGGGCCTCATCAGTGGCGTCCCCACTGTGCCAGCTGGGACCTCAGTGTTTGCGGGTAGGGTGACGGGAGCCGGCTGGTCAGTCCAAGTGTGAGGTCCTGGGTGGCAGGTCCCGGTCCTGGGGTCCCTGATGCTGTGGGCAGGAGGAACCCTGCCCCCTGAGACACTCCTGCATGACCCCCCCACCGTCGGCCTGACTGGGGTCCACCTTGCAGTGTCCAGTGGCGTCCCATGGGTTTGGGGGCAGGTGTGGTTGGCCACGTGCACACACAACGCGCAGGAGATGCGTCACATCTCATTACTGTGGAGATCCTCGTGAGGACAGACCTGGGGCGGGGAGATGACAAGCAGAGCCTTTGGCCCCAAGGAGGCCACCTTGGCGGGGGGCTGGTCAGGAAGCAAGGGAAGGCCTAGGACAGCAGCCCAGTGGGGGCAGGAGAGGCACAGCCCAGGCGAAGGCCTGGTGACGGGGACACCACGCCCAGCACGAGGGGGATCGGGTGGCCCAGCTGGGTCCTGGAGGTCCCTGCACGCTCCCTAGGACCCCCCAAGCCCAAGGCCGCCTGGGGAGCCTGCAGCTGGAGGGCAGTCAGGGGTCCCTGCCAGGGGGGCCAGCCCATGCCTCGTGCTTTGATCGGACCCTCCCGCTCAGGAGCGGGGTGGGACCCCCAGGAGGGCCCCTTCTGCCTGAATCCTGCCTTTCCAGCCCCCTGCACTCAGCCCCCCTGCACTCCCACCCCCACCGACCCCTCCCTTCCTGCAAGCCCCGCTCTGGAGATACCCCCTTCCCAGCACCTCCGCAGGGTCCTGCAGGTGTCCGCATCCGCACATCTCAGGGGCCGTGCTGTGCCCCTGCCTCGGCGTCCCTCCCTCCCTGTAGCCGCCATCACCCTGCAGCCCCCGTCAGCGGGCCGGACACGGAATGCCCTGCCCCCACCATGGCCCTGGGCCCCCCCGCCAGTGGCACGATGCAGCAGAGGGGACGGCACGAAGGGGTGGCAGAGGGGAGTGCCGGGCCTCGAGGCCACTGGCCCACCGTACCCTGTCACAGCCCTTCTGGTGGCCCAGCCTCCAGCTCCTGCACCAGTCTAGGCCACTAGGCTCTGGGGAGCCGAGACGGGGGTACTACCCCCCCGCCCCAGCCAGCTGGGCCACGCCTACCTTTCCCATCTGTTTCCCTGGGGACCCCTGGCCCTGCCCTGTTCCAGAGTCTTGCTCACCCCATTTAGAGGTCCGGACTACTGGCCAGGCCTCCCTGAGGGCCCGAGTATCTGAATCATGCCCCCGCTCTGGGAGCCCGAGCTGGGTTAGCCTGGGAGGGCCTGGAACGGTCACAACGTGGGGGTCAGCCGCCACAGTGCCCCTCAGCCAGGGGGCCGGGGGTGGCCCTGAGCCTGGAATTCCCCACAGCAGAGGGCTCCCCCCATGGCGGTGCCCGAAGCAGGCCTGCCAGGAGGTGGGGGGTGGGGGCTCGTGCCCAGGGTGCTTGAGGCTGGGACAGGTGGGGGGTGGCGCTGGGACGGGGTGCCAACCTGCGGCCTCTGGCCAGTGCTGCTGTGGCTGAGTGGCCCCAGGGCAGGTGGGTCGGACCTCGTGCAGCCACCCGACGCCCACCTGTGCCCCGCAGATACCTGGTGCTAGAACACGTGTCTGGTGGGGAGCTCTTCGACTACCTTGTCAAGAAGGGGAGGCTGACCCCCAAAGAGGCCCGGAAGTTCTTCCGGCAGATCATCTCCGCGCTGGACTTTTGTCACAGCCACTCTATATGGTGCGTGCCCCGACCCCCGCCAGGTGTCCCCAGCCCCAGCTAGGTGCGCCTCTGTTCCCCATGAGGGACACCCTCATCCCCCACCAGGTCCCCCCACCCCCAGGTCCCCCCCACTCCCTACAGGTACCCCCACCCCCATCAGATAACCCCCCAACAGGTACCTCTGCCCCACCCTTGTGTTCCTCCTCTGCCCCTGGAGCGGCGGCACACGTTTTGTTTGCCCACCCCCTCCAGGAGTGTCTGGAAGCTTCCGCTAGGTGTCCACCCCAGGCTCCAGGAGCCCCTCCTCAGGTTTCTCGGGGGTCTTGGGGCCAGGCCAGTCTGGATTGGGGGTCCCGGGTTGGCCCTGGCGCAGAGCACTTATGGTGGGGAGGCCCCAGGGAGTAAAGCAAAGCCTGCCTTGGGGCGGGGAGCATGTGGTGTGACCCCAGAGGGTCCCTGTTTCTCTGTTCCCGAGACCACAGCCACCAGGACGGTGACTTCCCATTGGCTGCCTGTGACATCACCAGGCTGGGCTGCCATTGGCCCCACGCTGTGCAGATGGGCTTCTGGGGAGGGGCGGCAGCTGGGGGACTGCTCAGCCTCAAGCCGGCCGCCTTCCAGCCACAGGGATCTGAAGCCGGAAAACCTGCTGCTAGACGAGAAGAACAACATCCGGGTGGCCGACTTCGGGATGGCGTCTCTGCAGGTTGGCGACAGTCTGCTGGAGACCAGCTGCGGGTGAGTGTCCGGCCCCGAGGCCCCCGCCCGCCCTGTCCACGCTGCCCGTGGTCGCGGCTGCCCGACCGGGACGGCCTGGAGCTCCAGGGCCTCTGGCTGTGCTCCCGGATTTCGCGGCCAAGTGCGATGCCGTGAAGGGACCCCACCTGGTGACCCTCCAGGCCCGCCCCCCCTCTGCTCCCCAGCCCTGGGAGGCGGGTCCCACCCCAGCGGCTGCCCATGTGCTCCCTGTGCGCTCAGCCCTGTGGTGCTTCCCGGGACGCTCCTCTCCTTCGACCAGGGCGGCAGGCAGACCGCCGGGAGTGTGGCGGAGCCCACAGCCTCCTGCGCCTCAGTCTTCCCCAGAAGCGCGCAGTGGGGATTAGGTTGTGAGGGGCTTGGCCCTACCTTGAGCCTCCTGCGGGGCGTCTCCTGCAGGCAGAGCGTGCCTCCAGACGTCTCCACTGGTCCTGGGGGGCAGCCCCGAGGGCGGGCAGGCTGGGGTGACCAGGGCCCACAGCGGGTCCCGATCCCCGGGCCTGACGGCTGCTTTTGCCCGCAGATCCCCCCACTACGCCTGTCCCGAGGTGATCCGGGTGAGTAGCCGCTGCCCCCCATCCCCCGCCTCGTCACCGTCTATCCAGGGGGCTTCGCCGCCGGAGCCTCGCAGCCCCCCACGCCCCGGGCCCCAGCCGACCCCCGCCACCCGCCCCCCGCGCCCGGGGCCCCAGCCTCTCAGCGGAGGCCGGCCGCTCACTGTGTCCCCCGCTGCCGCCCGCAGGGGGAGAAGTACGACGGCCGCAAGGCGGACGTGTGGAGCTGCGGTGTCATCCTCTTTGCCCTGCTGGTGGTGAGTCCCCTGCCCCCCGCTCCGCCCCCCCCCCCCCCCCCTCCGGGTGGTGAGCCCCTGCCCCCCGCTCCGCCCCCGCCTGCTGGTGGTGAGCCCCGCGCCCCCGCCACAAGCCCTGTGCGCCCCGTGCGCCCCTCCCTCGGTAACGGCCGGTCCCTGCCCGCAGGGGGCTCTGCCCTTTGATGACGACAACCTGCGACAGCTGCTGGAGAAGGTGAAGCGTGGCGTGTTCCACATGCCCCACTTCATCCCGCCCGACTGCCAGAGCCTGCTGCGCGGCATGATCGAGGTGGACGCCGCCCGGCGCCTCACGGTGCGTGCCGCGGCCTCCCGCTCCCTCCGACGCCGCCCCGACCCCCTGCGCGGGGCCCTGCCGGGGCCGGTGCCCTCCTCGGCGTCTCCTCCCCGGGGCAGGACTGGCGCACGCCGGGGGCCTCCCCCCTCCCCGTGCCCGTGCGGGGTGTGCGCGTGTGCACGAGCACTGGATAAGCGGGCACAGTGTGCGCGTGCACGGGCGTGTACCTGCGTGTGCATGGGTGTGGACAGGGCTGCGGTGCCTGGCAGGGGAGCGTCTGCTGATGCGGCCCCCGTGTCCTGGGCTCTCCGGGGCCTGGTCAGTGTGAAGGGCTCCTCACGACCACTGCTCCTGGCAGGTGGGCTGGGGAGGGTCCAGGGAAGCTGGTTCTCAAAGAAGGCCCCCGCTGGCCACCTCCTGCCTCCCTGGGGCTCAGCTACTGCCAGGAGGGCCGGTCCCCAGAGCGATAGGACTTCTCTGGCTGTTCTCTCTGGGACAAGGGCGACCCAGGGCCCAAGAGGCCACCCTCACCCACCCTCCCCAACCAAGCTGTCCCCAGGGGAGCTGGGGAGAGAGCAGGGCTGGCCCCCAAGCCTCCTGCTCACACCTGCACCCAGCCCCTTCCTGTGCACAGGAGGGCCGCCCTGGCCGCTTCCCCTGCCCTCCTCCCTTGACCTCCGTCCCAGAGCCCTGAGACCTCAGAGGCCACTCTGCTTTCGTGCTCACTCCTTCTGCCACCCAGGCCCCCCAGCCTTGCCTGCGGCCCCCCGGCCCTGACCACCTTCCTTCTCTCTCTACGTCAGCGTTTTCTCTTCCATCTGGGGTAGGCAGGGTCCGGGTGCTGGCCTGGAGCCTCCGGGAACACAGCCCCTCCCCACACTCTTCCCGCCCTGCACCCACATTGTCCCCCATGCCCTGTCCCCATCCGCCAGCCCCTTCCTCCCCTCCTCCTGTCCTCTCTCTGCACACTCCTGCGCTCCTCACTCCCTGTGCTCCGTGCTCCCCACCCCCGCCTCCTAACGTGGGCTCGTCTGTCCCTCCTCGTACTAACTCCCTGTTTCTCTTTCCTTGTAGCTAGAGCACATTCAGAAACACATATGGTATATGTAAGTAGCTTTTCCTCCCACATCACCTGCTTTGCCTGTCACCCGTCACCGTGGCCTGGAGGGCCTGCTAGGGAAGGCGGGGGGTGACCCAGCCCAGCGCAGGCCTGGCCCTAGCCTCAGCCGCTCCTGGCTCTCCAGGGCCCCGGGCCGGCCTGCGCTGGGCTCGGGCAGGACGCAGGAGGCGTGCAGGGGCTGGGCACAGGGAGAGCAGTAAGACTCGGGGCCCAGGAGGGGGTGGGCCCCGCCCTCCCGGCACCTCGGGGTGGGGGCGGAGGAGGCCCAGGCTGCGGAAGGGGTGGGGAGTGACCCCAAGGTGCCTGTCGTCCGCAGAGGGGGCAAGAACGAGCCAGAGCCAGAGCAGCCCATCCCCCGCAAGGTGCAGATCCGCTCGCTGCCCAGCCTGGAGGACATCGACCCCGACGTGCTGGACAGCATGCACTCGCTGGGCTGCTTCCGGGACCGTAACAAGCTCCTGCAGGACCTGCTGTCCGAGGAGTACGTCGGCAAGGGCTGCGGCCTGGTCTGGGGCGGCGCGGCGCGGGGCGGGACCCCTCCTGGAATGCACTTGCCTATCCCTCTCGCTGCCCCCCCCCCCCCCCCCCCGCAGGGAGAACCAGGAGAAGATGATTTATTTCCTTCTCCTGGACCGGAAAGAAAGGTACCCGAGCCACGAGGACGAGGACCTGCCCCCCAGAAATGAAATAGGTACATGGTGGCAGGGTGGTCTGGCCCCATGCTGCCCCTCCCAGGCCCAGGCCGGGCCCTGACCCCTGTCTGCACACAGACCCTCCCCGGAAGCGTGTGGACTCCCCAATGCTGAACCGGCACGGCAAGCGGCGGCCTGAACGCAAGTCCATGGAGGTGCTCAGCGTGACGGACGGCGGCTCCCCGGTGCCCGCGCGGAGGGCCATTGAGATGGCCCAGCATGGCCAGAGGTGCGTGCCTTCCAGGAGCTTCCAGTGCTCTGCCTCCTGGTGGCCTGGCCTGGCCGGTGCTGGCACCCCTCGTGGGCTGTGCTGGGCCTGGCATGGCTCATCTCTGCCCCCCCGGGCCCCGGGGCTGCGCTAAGGCCACCGGGTGGGGACCGACGACACTGTGCCGGGCTGCTCGGGCTGGACTGGACTGAGCTGAACTTGGCTGGGCTGGACTGGGCAGAGTGAGCTGAGCTGGGCTGGACTCCACTGAGCCGGACTGGGCTGGGCTGGACTGAGCCGGACTGGGCTAGACTAATCTGGTCTGGGGTGGGCTGAGCTGCACTGGGCTGGATTGGACTGAGCTGGACTAGGGTGGGCTGGACTGAGCTGGTATGGGCCAGACTGGGCTAGGCTGAGCTGGGCTGAACTGGGTTGGGGTGGACTGAGCTGGACTGAGTGGGGCTGGGCTAGACTGGGCTGGGCTGAACTGGGCTAGACTGGGATGGACTGGGTTGGGCTGAGCTGGACTGGGCTTTGCTCTGTTGGCCTGGGTTGTACGGGGCTGGTTGGGCTGGACTGGAGTGGACCGGACTTGGCTACAGTGGGGTCAGGCCGTGTTCAGAGCCACCCAGAAGGCCTGTCCCCATGTGATGCTGGCCCTGTGTTTGGGTCCCCTGTGGCAGTATGGGGGTCAAGCACAAGGAAGGAGCCTGGACACCAGCAGGTCTGGTCTGTGCCAGCAGCGCCCCCTCGAGGAAGGAAGGGTGACCTGGTCCTGCAGAGCCTCGGCTCATTCTGGTTGGCCAGGCGGGGCCCTTGGCCAGTCCTCATCCTGGCCCTGGGCAGGGCCTGCACGGGGAGGGACCCAGTGTTCCTGTCTAGGTGGGGGCTTTCACCATACCCCTGGGACATGGAGACACAGCTGTGGGGGTCCCAGCTCTGAGGCTGCCCCTGGTCAGCTCGGGGCTGAGCGCTGGGGACAGCTGGGCCTCTCAAGGTATTTGCCTGGAAACGGCCACCATCAGAATAAAACTGGGCTGGTGGTTCTCAGCTCCCTCGGTGGTCCCAAGCCTTCCCTGGGGAAACAGGCTGGCTCCAGACCACCACGGCCCCTGCCCTTGGGATCTGGCACTGGAGGGGCTGGTGAGGGTGGTGGAGAAAAAAGTCTCTGCTAGCTGAGCCGCTGCCCTGACTGTGCCTCGTGTCCTGCCTGTTGTGGGCGCCCTTGACCCCAGCAGGCCCCCAGGGCGAGAGGCTGCCTCTCCCCAGCCCACCTTTCCTGAGCCTCGCCCCTGCTCTCCCAGTTGACCTCCCAGTGTGGCTGAGTGCCAAGGTGGGGCCCACTGCATCCTGGCCACCCCACCTCCCTCCCTCCTTGTCTGCCTAGAGGAGGGGCCGGGCACGGGAGGCCGCCAAGCCCAGTGTCTGCTCCGCCTTCCAGGCCTGGCCGCCTGGGGGCCGGAGGAGCTGGGACAGGGTCCACTGTGGACCATCCTGGCGGTCCCTGGTGAGTCCCTTCCTGCCAGCTCCTCCCATGCACCCCTGCCGCCCCAGGCCCTGCTTCTTCTTCTGGCTTGGCCGCTTGGCCCTGGGCCACAGCGGGCCGCTGGCCAGGGCTGGAGGGGTCCTCGGGATGGTGGTGGGTGCTGGGCACCTCCAAGGCCTGGCCAGGCCCCCCGCCAGCAGGTCACCAGGGTGGGGTGCGCCATGGCCCCAGCACTCTCCTGCCTGACCTCCCCTTGTGTCCGCGTGCCTGGCCTTGGGCCAGGTAGGCCATGCCCAGCTTGTGTGGGGCTGCGTGGAGGTCCAGCCTCCCGGGCCGCCGGGTGGGGCTGCGTCAGTAACTCTGTTTTCTCACTTTGTTCCTGCTGTAGTAAAGCAGTGTTCAGTAAAAGCCTGGATATCGCTGAAGCCCACCCCCAATTCAGCAAAGAAGACAGGTATACACCCTGCCCGCCCATCCCCCACCCCCCAGCCCCAAAAACGACGCTGGGCCTGGTGGCAGGGCCGGGCCTGAGGCCCTGAGGAGGCGTGGGCTGCTGGGGCAAGGCCAGTGGCCAGCCTGACTGGGTGGGGAGACCCACTGCGCTCTCCCTGCCCGGGGATCCCCGAGAGTCTGCGGGCTGCGAGGCCTCTTCCGCGTGGCCCTGCTTCCCCTCCCCTTCCCCATGCTGTGCTGCCCACAGGGGCCAGAGTGGACGCGGCAGACCAGGGCCGTGGCAGGCTCTCCAGGAGGTGGCAGGAGGCATGACAGTTTCTTGGGTCTCTGCATGGGGCCTAGCGTTCCTGAGCCCCCCAGCCCTGTCCCTGCAGGGCCTGCTGCCCGTGGGGGACGGTGGTCGGGCCCCACCTGTTGCCCCCTGCCTGCTCCCGTACCTCTCCGTGCCCCCGCCTGCTCCCCGCTGGCCTCTCGCCGCCCACCTGCCCTGGCTGCTCTGCGCGCAGGCCCCTCCTTTCTGTCACAGGCAGGTGCGGCCTGGTCAGACAGGACCGTGTGGAGGCGGCTCCCCCCCCGCCCCCCACTGCTGCTTCTCTGGTCTCCTTGTGCCGAGTGGCGAGTGCATGGCTGGCTCAGCGGCAGGCAGCTCCCGGCGCTGGGCCTTGCTCTTGGCGGCTGCCCGGCTGGCCTGTGGCTGCCGGGGTGGGCCGCAGCCGGACGGATGGCCCCCACTCCCCCCCAGCGTCTGAAAGCTTTGGACCCAGGCCTGGCTCTGGGTACTGTCCTGGCTGTGCGCGGGCCGGGCTGGGGGACTGGGGACAAGGCCAGACCACACCCTGTGGTGTGTGTGGCGGCTGTGTCGGGCGGTACAGTTGGAGGGTCCCTGCCACAGGGCCCGCAGATGCCGGGGCCCTGGTCGGAGTGGGCTCAGCGCCTCCCTGAGGCCCAGGGACTGGGCCGGTGTGTGAGTGGGTGGGCGAGGGCCCTCTTGGGGCTGGGCTGCCTGGTGCGGGCAGGCCTTCCCTCTTTTCCTCCTCTCTCCTGGGGCTGCCCTGCCCCCCCGCCCCGCCCCATTTCCTTCCTCGAAGGGAGGCAGGTGCCAGCACCCAGGGCTGAGTGAGCACGGTGAGCCTTCCCTGAGGCCGTGTGGTGCGGCGGAGTGAGGCTCCTGCCTCGCAGGGTGCCTGGTTCTTGCCCTGCCAGGTCTGTGGGCCCAGTGGGGCCAGCGGCGGACCAGGCTCGTGGTCCCAGCCGGTGCTCACCCCAGCCTGGCCTTGCCCCAGCCCTCGGGGTGCCAGTGAGGAGAGGGCTATGGGCTGGCGTGCTGCGGGCAGCTCTGGGCCGGGCAGGTGGGCCGTGAGCATGGAGGACTGGGCCAGTGCCCACTTGGTGGCCCACACGCTAGGTGGGAGACTCTGTCGAGCACAGGACTCGGGGCCTGTGACAATTCAGCTTTGGGGGTTCTGGCCGGGCTCAGAGCACCAGGGGCTGGAGAGTGGACCTGACACGGGGCTGGACGCAGCTCCCAGGAAGCACCCGTCTCCCCTCGTCCCTCTGTCCATCCAAGCCCCTGACAACACCCTTGCTGAGGGCTCCCTGGAGCCATCCCGGGCCTGGGCCTCCCGCCTGGAGGAGAGGAGCCTGAGACGGGCATCCAGCCACCCCACTGGGCTCGACGGGGCCCTCCCTGGTCCTGGGAGAGGCGGGGCGGGGACAGCAGGACAGTCCTGTGTGCGGCCAGGTGTGCGCAGGCCAGGGCGGCCTCAAGGCTCTCGGCCGGGGCTCCGGCCTCTCGGAGGGTCGGCCCGGGGGAGAGAAGCCGGGAGCTGTGGCCGCCCCGGCTGACCTGCCCGCACCGGTGTCCACAGGTCCAGGTCCATCAGTGGCGCTTCCTCGGGCCTGTCCACCAGCCCGCTGAGCAGCCCCCGGGTGAGCCCCCGCCCCGCCCCCCAGCTCCCAGAGGCCCAGCGTGCACCGGTGGGGGGGGCAGGGAGGCTCCCAGAGCCTGGGCTGGGCCGTGCCCCCCCACCTGCTGCCGCCCCGGTGGTTGCTTCTGCTGTGGCTAACTGCACGTTCTTTTGTTTTGTTTCTTTGTTTTCTCGTCTGTTACTTGTTTTCTTTTACGGCAAATGCTCCCACCCCCCCACGCCCGCCTGTCCCCGCTGGTCCTGCCTTGGGGTCCTGCTTGAACGTTTCTTTCGGGTCCTCCTGGTGCTGTGTGTGTGCATGTGGTGGGGGGGCGGCGGGTGCTCGCATGGCGGACCCTCGGGGACCCTCGCGCTCTGCCCCCTGCCCTCCGCACCACCCTGTAGCCTGTTAGAAAGTTTGCCCTGCCCCCCCCACCCTCCGAGAGCCCCTTCGTGGCCTGCCCCCTGGCCACCTCCGCGGAGCCGGAAGCTTGCCGGAGCGCCTCTCGGCCCGGACACGTCCTCCCTCCACAGGCCGCCTCGCGGCCCAACCCCAAGACCCAGACCTTGCCGAGCAAGGCCAAGCTGACCGACAAGCCGCTGCAGGGCACCAAGTCCAACCCACTCCCGGCCGGCACCCAGGCCCGACCCCCTGTCCCGGGGGGCCTAGGCCCCCAGCTCGCCCTGCCCCCGGGCCCGCCGACCGTGCCGGCCTCTACCCGGCTCCTGGCCGCCGGGACTGAACCAAACACCAAATCTGTCCCCACCATACAGGTGACCCCTCACCCCTCTCCAAGGGGTAGTCCCCTCCCCACCCCTAAGGGGACGCCTGTGCATACGCCCAAGGAGAGCCCGGCAGGCACGCCGAACCCCACGCCCCCGTCCAGCCCCAGCGTCGGAGGGGTGCCCTGGAGGACGCGGCTCAATTCCATCAAGAACAGCTTCCTGGGGTCGCCCCGCTTCCACCGCCGGAAACTGCAGGGTCAGTGGAGGGACGAGGGGTTGCCGCTCTGTGCTGGGCCCCGGGGAGCAGTTCGTGTCCTCTAGGCCTGCACAGGCCCAGGCGGGGCCTCCAGATGGCTGCTCGCTCCCAGGCTTGCCCGCTGCGCATCGGGGGCCTGGTGGCTGTGGCCTTGGGGCCCCCCTCAGCTCCTGGGCTTCTCTTCAGCCCAGTGATCACTTGAGGCCAGGCTCCTTGAGCCCTGGGGGGACAGCCCGATGACAGGCAGGTGGGGGTGAGGGCCATCCGCAAGCCTGTGGGATGGGGTTGCGGGGGGGCAGCCCGTTGCTGAGTGCCAGGTGTCAAGGCTCAGTGGGCGCTGTCAGGCCATCCGAGCCCGCAGCACAGCCGATGGGTGGGCATGGGGGCCAGTGCCATCTGTCGGGGGACAGCAGGGCCAGCTGGAGGCCAGAGCAAGCCTGGCCTGATTATAGCACCAGAGGCTGGGACAGCCCCATGGCCTTAGGCTCTGGCAGGGGCAGGAGCCCGTGGGCTGGCTTGTGGGACCACAGTCACAGTGTTGGGGCGGGGGGCGACAAGGGCAGGGCGGTCATGTCTTTTGTCCTTCCCATGTGCACAGTTCCGACACCAGAGGAGATGTCCAACCTGACCCCAGAGTCGTCTCCAGAGTAAGTGGCTGCTGCTCAAGGTTGAGGGGGAGCCCCTGGCCTCCATCCCAGTGCCCAGACACTGACGTGGCGGGGGGAGGGGCTGTGCTGGAGCCTCCCACATGGCAGGCCAGGGGGCCTTCGAGGGCTGCAGGGCGAAGCACCCCAGCCCCTCCAGGTCTTCTCTCCTCTCTCCCTGTGCCCCTGGGCTTGCCCAGGTCCCCCCTCTACCTCCCGCCTGGGACGCCTCCTCTCCAGCACCCACAGCTCTGTCTCAGACACCCGGAATGCCAGGTTAGGGAGCAGGACTTACAGTGCAGAGGGAGCTGGCTGGCTCCTCCTGGCCCTGCTCAGAAGCCACAGCCTGGGGCCGGCAGGAGGCAAGGGACGGCACCGCCACGCCTCGGCAGGGCTGGGGCTTGCCCGCTGAAGGCTCCTGCCGGCACGCTGGGGGAGCCGTGTGGACCAGAACCTGAGCCTCATGGCAGAGGTGCTCACCCTGCTCTGGACACGGCTCAGCCCCATCACGGGGAGCCCGAGGAGGACCAGTCTGTGGGGTTTGCAGTGGGGTAGCCTCCAAGGAGGCCTGTGCTGGGCAGAACGGAGGTGGAATGTGGCCAGAAACTTGGGGGCTCACGGGGACGGAGCGTCTCAAGGTGAAAACTTGGCGCCGGCCAAAGAGGATGAGGAAGAGCCGTGGACTGGCCTGGCGGGAGCTCGCGTCCAGGGGAGGGTGGTTCAAGGCCAGGAGCAGACCAGGCCCTCTGCGGACCTTCGCCAAGAGGAAGGAGCCGCCCGTGGGAGGCGGTGGGTGAGCAGAGCCGCAGCTCAGCCCACGGCCAGTCTGGACAGGGAGGACTCGCTGGAGCGGCCCTGCCCGCTCTCCCCGCCCCAGCAGCGGCCTTGGTCCTGCAGCCTCGGGAAGACGACGCACACAGGAACCGAGCTGTGGATGCGGGGCAGGGCTGGCGAGGGCACAGGCAGCCTCCACAGAGGCCACAGTCTCGTCGCCAAGCAGAAGTGCCACCACGTGGCTTGCTCTGCATGAGGCGGGCTGACTCCTGGGCCGCAACGTGTCGGGGTGAGGGATCCCATCCCACCGTTAGTGCCCCTTGGCCAAAACGTCCTGCTGTGTCACGCACTCGCAGACACCCTTGTAACGGGATTGTTGGGCGCTCAGGCTGGTTGGGCCCCACGGCACCTGACACCAAGTCGGTGCCCACAGCCTCCCCTCCTTCCCGTCCTCCAGTCCCTCTGGAGGCCTCGCCGCCCCCACCCCCAGGGGTCCTGGCCAGCGCCCACCGCGTGGCAGGTGTGGCCGATGGGACGGAGCCGGTTCGCGGTGGCCCCAGAGGCCTGTGCAGCTAATGCCTCGGCACCGCCTCCTATGGAGGACGCGCTCGCCCGCGGTGTGTCGGGGTCCGCGGGGAAGCTCCCGGGACAGCGTGTGTGCGTGAGTGTGCAGGTCTGGGGGCTGGCAGGTCTGAGACCGCAGATTCAGCAGGTGCAGGTTCCGGTTTGGGTGACGTCACAGCCCTGAGTGTGACATGTGCCGGTGGGGAATTCACGCTGTGGCGTTGAGTAGAACTTGGGGAAGCTGCAGGCTGTGCTCCAGAGGCCTTCACCTGCTTGGACGAGGCCCACCACGCAGGGAGAGTGGTCTGCTTTACTCGGAGAGGCCCAGCGGCTGCCTGGATGGCCCGGCCCGCATTGAAGTTGGTTGGCACCGCCTCTCTGGCTCCTTCAGGCTTCTTCCGGGCACGGGACTGCCTATTACGCCAGGCGCCAAACTGCCAGCTCCCACACTGCAAATAAGTCGTTTTTGGTGCTGTTCTTTCTCAAGGGAGGAGAAGCAGAAACCCTGTATGCGGGTCCCAGAACTGCCCCTCTGCGTACTTGCTGGGCTACAGGTGCTGGGGCACGGCGGGGAGCAGCTGGACCCAGAGCGGACAGTGGGCAGGACGGCAGGATGTGGGGAAGGAGGTGGCCGGTGACCAGGAGGTCCGGCAGGACATGCATGCCCGTCGTCCCCGTCGACCCCTCTGCGCTGTTGCTGGGCCGGGATCCCTGGGCCGAGTAGAGGCTGGCTGTGGAACCGGGCACGGAAAGGGAAATCACGTGCTTGGGAAAGGCACCGAGAGGTGCTGGAGAATCTGCCCTTACGGCTCCCCCTGCCAGCGCTGATGCCCACGCCGGGGCAAGATGCTGGGCCGCGTGGGCCGAATGGGAGTGTCCATCGGCAGAGCCGCGAGACGGCAGTCAGGACACGTTGGCACTACTAACTGGCAGATGGCACCGGGCTCAGCAGCTCTGACACCACACACTCCACATCTCGGGTTCGGTGGGTCAGGCCCCGGGCCGGCCCAGTAGAGCCCTCCACCTTGCGGAGTCCGTGGGCTGTGGTCACCTCCAGGCTCAGCTGGGCCAGGACCTGTGGCCAAGCTCCTGTAGTCGTCGGTGGGATTCAGGGCCTGTCGGCTTCTGGGCCAAGGGCCTCTCCATCACGATGCAGTGAAGACCCGCTAGCAAGCATGAGGCGCGGCCTCGGGTGCCGTGTTCTTGGAGGTGACATCCGCCACTCATTCTGCTTGGAGGAAAGTCCTGGCCTGTCCCCGCCTCAGGGAGGGTGTGCAGGATCACGGGGCCAGCTGAGGGCACCCATGCTAGTGTGCACGGCAGTGAGGGGTTGCAGGCCGCATGGGTCAGATGCAGATGCTGGACAGAGTAACAAGGCTGGACGGAAGACAGGACAGGAAGGGAAGCCCTGAGCACCAGTGAGGGAGGGGCTGCGTGCAGGAGGGTACACCGCTGACCCGCCCAGCACAGCACTGGGCTTTAGAACAGCCTTTGTGTCCCAGACTGACCTGGGCTGGGCAGCAGGCCGCTGAGTAGCCCCTGGTCCTCGAGGACGGGGTGGCCGGGGGGAGCCGAGGCTGTCCTACCAGATGGGAGCGGCACGTAGCATCCCGAGCCCTCAGGCCCCACTGTCCATGCAGGGTCTCTCCTGTCCACTTGTCCTTGTGGGTGCAGAGCTCCCCCACCAGCCCCGACCCCATAGCCTGGCCTTCCGCATTACCCCCACCCCCCATACAGTCCCAGGGCCGGGGGCACATTCTTCCAGGTGGCTGCAGGACTGTTGCAAATTGCCCCAAAACTTGGTGGCTGAAACAGAGAGGAGCAGGACTGGGTGTCAGGGTGTGCTCTGCTGTCCTTTCTGGTGGGTTCTGGTGGGCACTGCCCAGGCCCAGGCAGGCCTGGGGGTATGGGGCCAGGCTGAGACCGTGGGATTAGCATTAGGGCTGCAGGGTCAGGGCGGGAGGAGGCGGGGGCCAGGGCAGGAGTTGGGGCAGTAAGCCGGCCCTGCCCAGGAGGCTCGGCTGAGAGCACACCCTGATGGGAGCCGCCCTCTGCCCCCTCCCCTCCCCCAGGCTCGCCAAGAAGTCCTGGTTCGGGAACTTTATCAACCTGGAGAAGGAGGAGCAGATCTTTGTAGTCATCAAGGACAAAGCCCTGAGCTCCATCAAAGCAGACATCGTTCATGCCTTCCTGTCGGTGAGCCTCCCGCCCGGCTGGGGACACGCGTCCCACTTGGACACTGGCTGCCCGGCTGGGGACACGCGTCCCACTTGGACACTGGCTGGAGCCAGACGGGTCGCTGCACGGGCCCTGGGCTGGGGAGGGAGGCCAGCTGTCATCATGAGCAGCCCTGGCTGTGGGAGCACCAGGGACGGGGACAAGCGCGGGGGTGGGGTGGGGACAAACTGAGACGGAGTAAAGCACAGGCTACTCATGGGGGCGGGGACCTGGGGCCTGCACACAGGGACCTCTGCCAAGTCTGTCCCAGGGGCCTGTCTCCAGCTCCCATGCACGCTCCCCCATCCCCCACCCCCCATAGGCTGCCGCCTCCTAGAGCCCCTCTGGCTCCCTGAGGCCAGGCTGTGCTCAGGCCCTGGGGGCGCTCCATCCGTGTCTGTGAGATCCCGAGCGCGCTAGAAACAGAAAGCCCTGAAGGTCTGCTCCCAGCGTCCTGCAGGGGGCCTGGCCCGGGGTGGGGTCCCCCGGGGATCAGAACGCGCCCCCCCCCCCGCCCCGTTCAGGGCTGGGACCTGTCACGGGTTCCTTCAGCCTGGTGTGGCCTCAGCCCAGGTTCCCCAAGGGCCGGGGGCCCACCTGCCATGGTGGCCTGCTCGCCTCCATAGGACCCCTGGTCTGGGCCTCCCTCTCCATCCGCTCCTGCGAGACCCTCCCTGGTTCAGCCTCCCGGCATGGACTGGGCCTTCCAACTGCGAGGCCAGCACAGCACTCCTGGGCTGCAGAGCCCTGGCCTGGGGTGACCCCTCCAGGGCCAGACGGCCTCCTGACTTGGTTTCAAGGGCATTTCCCCCGCTGCTCGTACGCCAAGTGCTCAGGGGCCTCTCTGCCCATCCTGGGAGCGGCCCCTTTCCCAAGCCCACAGAGCAGCAGATGCCGCCCTTGGCAATGGCCGTGGGGTCCCCGCCTCAGAGGCAGCCACCCTGGTCCTGGCTGCTGCTTCGTGGGGTCTCCTCGACCCTGTCTCCCCCAGCCCTCTCCTCTTCCACTCTGCTCCCACGTCCCCAGCCCGCACGCAAGCCGAGAGGCAGAGGTCCCAGCCCGGTCTGCGGGGATGCAGCGGTGCGGGCGGGTGCCCCGCACTCCCACGCTGCCCTCCCGTCCGCACCCCCGCACACCCACGCCGCCCGCACCCCCACACCCCCGCACCCCCACGCCGCCCTCCCGCCCGCACCCCCGCACACCCACG